CTGAGGCAGACCTCATGAGAGTGCACCCTGATCACTACCTACGGAACCACCCACAGAAGCGGAGATTCGTAAGGAACTTCACGCCGTGAAACGCCACAAGTCAGCTGGATCAGAAGGCCTACCCCCTACCCTTTTCAAAGACGATGAAGAAGCTCTCGTGAGAGCTTGCGACTGTTTTCGAAGATATGGGAAACTGAAAGTGTACCCCACATGCATGGGAATCGATTGTTACACCCATCTACAAGGGGTGTCGCAACGCCTGTTCCAACCACAGGAGCAAGTCTGACTCCAATAGCGCCGAAGCTGCGAGTGTCCGTTTCATTACGCAGATTTGGCTCATTTCGCAAAAAGCAAATCCGATTGGGGCTGTTCGGGTTTCGTGCACGCCGTGGCTGCATAGATCAAATCTTCACTCTCCGTCAGCTACTAGAACACCGCCACGCATACAGGCGGCAAAATATTGTCGTTTTTGGACATCAGAGCGGCATTCGACTCTATCGATCGCCCCGCACTGTGGAACTGTTTGCAGAGATACGAAGTACCCGAGCATTATGTTTTACTTCTAAAAGCGCTCTATCGCCAGACCTCTGGGAAAGTTGGGGGCTATGGTGAACTTTCACCCACATTTCCTGTCACCGGTGGGGTGTAAGAAGGTTGCTCTATCAATCCGTTTCTCTTCAACTTTGCCATAGATGATGTGCTAAAAAACGCGTTACATAGTAAAACGAACGCTGACGTCGAGCTTCTTCCTGGAGAGAGTTCTAGACTTAGAGTATGCCGGTGATATTGCCTTACTGGGTGACAATGCACCAATGATTCAAGAGTCTTTGAATCCTTTGGCAATTGCTGTTACTCTCCATGTTGTCCTTTGCACCTTTAAAGTGTAAATTGTCATTGCAAGATCGGTAGGAACCCAACCCTGCTCTTTCGTTGGATAATGATACCCTGGAAGTAGTCGAAAACTGTCTACCTTGGGAGTTGCACAACGGTTAGCGGTATGAGTGAGATCTCTCAACGCGTGATCAGAGAAAGATTATCGTTCTGTGGTAAATCTGGCGCTGACACTGGATTAGATAGTCTTCTATAGAGCAGAAAGCTTCATTGAATTGTCTTAGGTGCCTGGGCGACGTCTGACACCGTGCAATATTCGTGGACATCAGTCCGTATCTGTAAAGATTGGTGTTATATATATAGGCTTATTAATGCTTGTCCCCTTTATAGCTTAGCACTCCTCTCCTAATAAGCAGGGTTGATTCTCAGTCCGCGCCAGAAACGTTTTCAGCCCAGCTCATCTTCTAATGTACAAAGTTCAAATCGGCCCAGCTCTTGAATACTTCAGTCACGTGTGGGATGGAGCTTTTACCTAACCATCACTTTTGATCGTATTCAATGCATTTTCAAATTCTGTATATTTAGTCCACTTATCTCGTATACAGGCGCTTAGTCATCCTTCTCAGACTTTACCATCTATACTTTGAACTCCTACGGCCCAAACTGCTTTTCCCGAACTGTCTAGTTGTGGAACGCGCTCACTTTCTGTCATCCCCCAACTTACAACTTTACACTCTTCGAACGCGTAATAAATAAGCCGAGTCTAATGTGAATATTTCTATACCTTTCCTTTTACAGTGTGCCTTTTAATGAGGGTTCACCTTCTATCGTAACTCACTGATAAAAAATGATTTAATAAACTAATGAAACATTGCACTTACATGCTTCCAGTCAGAAAGATACGGTAGCTTAACTAATCCAGTTATATCCACAAAGGAGCTGGGCGTAATTTCCATAGTGGATGTTGGTCTAACGTACACCATTGGAGCGACGTGAGGATGAGACTCTTGGACGAAAATGGCTATCGGAATATTGTACGTTTGATCGCGGTAGACAANACACGACCGACCATCATTGAATGCTAAAAAATATCATAACTGAGAAAACAACTCACTGAAATTTTCCATATTCAAACGTAACTCCTTGTAGGCGGACAAGGCACACTTAACATCCTTTGTGACATCATACGCATGCTTGTACTGATAGAAAAATATGCATCAAACAACACATTGAGGATTTGGAAAACTTACACTTTTCAGATTATCAGCTAAAAATCTGTCAGTGGTCAACATATGACTGAAACTTCCTAGCTATTTTAAAAGAAATGAGGCTATTAGCACACCGAAATGTTGGAGTGCGATACTCAAGGTCGCATTTTCAGTTCAGTTCAGTTCAGTTCAGTTCAGTTTCCACAGGACGATGTGTGGCCCAGGCCAATCTTGCGTCCAGATTGATGT